GGTTACATTTCTTCAATGTCGAAGCGTTTATTTTATGACTATTCAAGCTATTACATTTAATTTGTAAACAAATTAAATCTAGACCACATGAAATTTCAATTTCTGATCTTGCCTCTTCAATTATTATATAATTATAAATGAATTAAATTAATGTTTTAGTCAAGAGACCATATTTAGACCATATTCATTGGGATTTAAAGACAAAAATTAGTCTTGAGAAGTCTTAGAAATAACCAGAAATCCTCTGATTTGGACGGATGATTTCTGGCTTTGCAGACTGGTGTGCGGAGGGGGGAATGGTTCAGCACGAGTGGGGACCAAGCGTGCATGTAGCTCCATTTGTGCAAGCGGCAGCAGAACACCCATGCATGCACTCTCCCGCTGCTCACATAAGGGGGGATATGTGCGCATGCACTCGCTCACCGCTTCAGGTGCCCTGGTTTTAAACAGCTCACAGCCAGGCAGTGAGCTGTGGCCTGGGGGATTGGGGACCTCTGCTTTAGAAAACATATCTGCCATTAAAAACAGTGTTTGTGTAGCTTTATGTGATTGTTTACATCTTTACATATAGATAACTACCCATATGTTTACCTTTTCTATCTTTTGTTCACAACCTTTGCAAGTACTTCTATTGGACTTTGCATATTCTGCTGCAAAATCATTTAAACTTTTTTCAGGTTTGCCACCTCCCTCTTGGCCACCACCTTTTCCTGGAAAAAAAAAAAAAAGAAAGGAATAATTTTTAGGTTCTGATTTAATGAATCCCTTGGGACAACAGAAATAAGATACATAAATCAGTTAGATTTGCTCAAGAATAAATACAGACTTTCGGAGACCAGTCTAAGAAAGAGAAATTCTTGGTTACAGTTAATGTTTTCTAGAACATGCAAGAATGACCCCAGAGGAAGACAGCAATAGTAATTCACTGAAACTTATTTCCAAAGAATTTCTTAAGCAATTATATTTTGGAGACCTTCTAACATTTTTTCATTGATGAAGTCTGCTCTCAGCATAAAAATGACAGGCTCCTAAACCTGCTCAAGTCAATGGTTCACCTGACAGCCTTTTCTCTCATCAGTGAGTAGCTTACCTGCTGCAGTTCCTCCACTTTCTATGTGTTTTTTAATTTTTTCCTGATCTTCCCAACGCAGTTCTGAGAAGCCATCCAGATCAGCATGGGATAGTAGCTGAGCTCGTTTCCAGAAGCAAGAATAGTGGTGCCAATGAGGGACTTTGCCATCAAACATAGGGGACTGAAAAGAAAGAATTGGGGGGGGGGGGAGGAGAAGGAGGAAAGAGAACCTCAGGCACGAAAACTGATACAACTGAATTGGGGTAAGAAATAACGCCCATACAGTACAATTAGAATCCAGACAAAAATGTATTTATTAATAAGTCACAGTTTCATACACCTTGTATATTATTTCCCTTCCCTATTTCATATATTTTTTCCAGTTTTGCAGATGTTTTATTTGTTTGGGTACGGTCAAATGAAGTGAGGTCAGCTCCAGCCCTCCTGACCTATAAGAGCTTAAATATCTGGCTTAGCCAGTTGGCTTGGAGCACCAACGAATGGGCTTCATGTTTCGGGGTGGTTGATTGAGTAACAACAGATTCCTTCCTCTCCCCCTGTTATCATACGCCCCCCATCTTTTTAGCTAGGTTGATTTTATAGTATTGTATTTATATTATTATAAATTATACAGTTTTATTTTTTAATATTGTAAACCACCCAGAATTATTGTGTGGCAAGATGGACGGCTAATACATTTTATAAATAAACAACTTATGCCCATCTATGAGTACTGTTTTCGTTTCTATAACTTCCCATATGCAGGTATTATCAATAGGTTTGCTATTCAGATTTCTATAACATCCAAAAGTAATTGTGATTCTTCTATTCCTTTTGCTTCCTTCTGCTCAGGCTTTAATAAGAATTTGGAGATGCAACGCTACCTACACAGAACTAAAGTGTTTGTTTTAAAATTTTGGGCTACAATGATGATTAGATACTAGATAAAAATCTCATTTTTCCCAACCAGTCTCTTCCAAACCATTGCGCTAACAAAGAAATATAATTTAAGTTGGAGTGGTCTTACAAATCCAAACTAGCTTCTTATGGCTTTTACATGGAGTACCTTCTCACAATGGATTACAATTAGGCCAATCATATATTCCTTCGGAGGATAAAGCATGTGCAATTATCACCTGGAGGTCAATAGGAACTTTGACAATAATAGAACCTGGATCCCAAGGTTCTCAGAACCAAACAAATATCTTCACTTTCCCTACTTTGAAGAAAGGTGAACAGTGTAACATCTTGCCATCCACTTTCTTTCTGGATACATATTCAAAAAAACTTGGCTCATGCATTTGAAAAATCAAAACCATCATTCACATACTGCTGTACCATAATTAGGACACACCATCAAATAGAGCAAGGGTGTCAAACTCAAGGCCCGGGGCCTCGATCTGGCCCACGGGGTGCTTAGATCTGGCCAGCAGGGCCACCATGGAAACAGCAAAGGACCGGCTTGCGGTGCCCCTGCCAGCAAAAAGGCTGGTAGCCCTCCCAAGCTCCATTTTCACTGGCAGAGGGTTGCAGGAGGCTGTCACAGCTGAAAACGGAGCTCAGGAGCCCATTTTTGCTAGCAGAGCGCACAGGCCACCACAGGTGCCCCCAACACAAGTGACATCAAGCTGGCCATGCCTCCCCCCCGCAGTCAAACACAACCTTGATGCGGCCCTCAATGAAATTGAGTTTGACACTCTTGATGCCTGATTACCAAATATTTGTTTTTATATATTTGTACATCTCATTGTATATGGATTATTGAATGCAATAAAGAGGTTTGAGGCTGAACTTCCAGGTTAAGAGTACAGGGCATTTAGGGGAAGAAGCTTCTGAATAATAAATATCAGTATACCAAAATCTAATCTAATTTGGTGCACTCAGTTTTCTCTTTCAAAATGGATAAAGCAAGACATTTCATAACAATAAATCAATGAAAAGGTAGAGTGGAAGCTAAAAATAGGATGAAGTTGTCTATTACAGTATTGTTGCTGACAGATTTACATTACTGAAGATTTAACGAAACAAAAAATCTATTAAATAAAGTTACTAGGCAAGTGTACAAGTAATCCAGAAAAATAGTCCCATGATCATCAATTTTCCCCATTTTAAAGAACTTCCATTGTTACCAAGTTTGTTTGCTTATTTCTTTCATAATGCAGTCTTCAATACATAATGTCATTAACCAGTGAATGGGTGTTCCATTTTGGGGCAGAGTTTTTTGGTTGTACTTGAGAGGGTAAGGGCCTACAGAATAACTCAGCGTGCACAACTATATCCAGCAATAGTTTTCTGTAGCAAAGTTCATCTAGATAGATGAATAAGAAACTCAGTCATCTCGCTGTTCCCCTGCTAGTACATCTAAAGTTGCTTGCTCTCTTCCTGACCTACTTTTCTAGGTAAGAAGTTATGAACAAAATGCTTTTGCATACTCCTCAGAGAATGGAATACAGTACACATTCCACAACAATAGGTTTTAAGACATTACACCATACAGTATCATTATTATTCCATTTATTTGATTTCACCCTATTGCAATCAAGCTGCCGTTAGTGAGTTACAAATTGTCAGGATTACCAATTGCATTATTTTATTATTATCTCAAATGGAGTCAAATCCATAGGTTTATTGCAAAAATAGTAAACTATCAAGAGATGGAAGAATGCAGTGTTGCTTGGCGAACAAACTCCTCCTAACTCAATAGATCTGTCTATATACTGTTCTTGGCAACACATCAGACTACAGTCAAAACTGTATGCTTGAAGACTTTATGGTCCACTGCAGGATGCAGCATTCAAATACAGATTGAAAAATATGATTGCAGTGCATGGCTATTTTAACAAAGCAAGCAATAGCTGTCCTCATTCTAGACTTTAAAAATCCCTTCCAACTCAACGATTCCATATGTCAGCCACGTCCAATTTATGATTGTTCCAACTGAGTCTAGGCATCAGGATCAAGAGATTTGCTAATCCTAAGGAAAAGCCTCATTACATTCAAAGTTGTATAAATATTTATTCGGAACTGTGCACTTCTGAACAAAACCTTTAAGAGGGTTGTACTGTAAACCATATTGTGAAAAAGAGGGTATTGGACTTGGTTGTGATTTTTCACACGAAGCAAAGCCATCGACGAAAAATAGGTGATATCCACCGCCCACTGCAGGACGAGCAGCTAAACCCCGCGGCCCTAAATGGGACAACGTGGGAACTACTGTCAGCTCAAATTTCCCCACCCAGACGTAAAAAACCCAAAGAACTTCCTCTTAAGTGAAAAGATAAGAGACATGCAGCTTATGGTGGGCCCGGCAGAAAATGATTTCAAACGAGCATCTTTGGAAGATCCTCAACAAGAAGGGAAGCTATGAAAGGGAAAGGGCGGTTCCTCCTGTGCTGCGCTCCGCATCCTTCAGCTGCCTTGACCCACCGGTGGCTCATAACAAAACGGAATCGAACCGATTCCGGGGATCAGGCGCAAAGGCAGCACCGAGGGGCGGCCACAAAGACGATTAATCGGCCGCTTCTGCAGGCAACGTGGCGCTCCCGGGCCTGGGTGGCCTAGGGTGAAAGCCTTGCAGAGCTTGTCTTAGGCTCTTAAGCCTGCTTAGAGGGAAGGTAGAGTCCCTACCTGCACCATGATAGCTAGGCGGAGCGAATCCTTGGCGATGTTTTCCTTGCATTTCTTGCAAGAAGACCGCCCGCTCTTGGCGTACTCGGCCCGGTATAGCTTCTCCGCGGGCTCCGCCATAGCCACCCCTCGACGCCCCCAGGGAAAGCTTCCCGCTGAGTCTCGAGAAAGAGGCGGCAATTTCTGCTCTGCGGCTGCAACGGCGGCGCCAAAAATGTGCCGAGCGCAGAGCGCGTGATCCCGCCCGGTGCGAGAGCCTCAGCTTCAGCGATTGATTAGCCGAGCCTCACTGTGGAGCACTTCCAAGGCCGCCCGGGGCGATGGATCCGTCTGAAGAGAGCGAGACTCCAGCGGAGGGGGGAACGGAAAGCCCCGGTGCCTGATAGGAAAACCACGCGGTCGGGGATCACGTGCTCACGGGGGCTTTCCTCTCTGCTCCCCGTTACGCCTCCCACTCGGGGGCCGGGACTCGCTTGTAATTTGTCAGACACCCCTGGAGTTTCCCTGCCACACCGCGACCAACGGCTAGCAGCCGGAGCAGAACTGTTGGCCTCTTCATAAGCAATTCTTTGATTTTGGGGGGTTGCAAGGGAACAACTCGGTAAAGATTTGCCATTAAAATCTCCTAGGTTTTTTATTTTATTGTATTCACGTTATAGGCTATAGCTCTGGAATCTTCTGGTTATCTCCGATTTAACTACTAGTACAGTAGTCCTCGACTTACAACACTTCACTTAGTAACCGTTCGGAATTACAATGGCACTGAAAAAAGTGCATTAAAGAAAAAGGCATATGTTTTGAAAGTACATATGTTTTTAAAGTACATATACTTTCAAAACACATGCCTCATCACTGGTGAAATCTAAATTTTTTTACTACCGGTTCTGTGGGCGTGACTTGGTGGGCATGGCAGGGTAAGGATATTGCAAAATCCCCATTCCCACCCCACTCTGGGACCAGTGAGGGGTGATATTTGCCGGTTCTCTGAACTACTCAAAATTTCCGCTACCGGTTCTCCGAACTATTCAAAATTTCTACTACTGGTTCTCCACAACCTGTCAGAACCTGCTGGATTTCACCTCTGTGCCTCATATATAGTTGTGTCTGAGAGCAGTGAATAAGAGCTAGGAAGAAAAAGAATCTGATAAACAGGACAATTGGGTCTTAGAGGTCAGGACATTCTGTTATGGATCCACCTGGTGATTTTGGCAGGCTAAAATGGGTTATTTTGTATTTTGCAGAAAAATTACACCTTGAGGAAATGCAAAGGTCCTGTCTGAATACAGCTGTCCACTCTCACCCGAACAGAAGGATTTTTCATTCATAGAAGTATCTTTATTATTCATGAAGTAAATACTTTATTTATGAAAGGAAATAAAAAGATAAAAAATACTTTATTCCTGAAGTAAAATAAAATACAATGGTGGTATATCTGCCCTTCTAGAGGACCATAAGTACATTGTAATAAAACCATATCTTTACTCTTTCTAAATGCAACCGGAGACTTTGGACTAGCTGTACTTCCAGAACAGAATATTCCTTAATGAGAGGTTGCTTACCAAGAAGGGATTTTGAATTTGTAACCTACCTCTCCATCACAAAAGGATGCCAAATATGCTTAACAATGGTGACAAAAGATGTAAACAAAACAATAAAACAAAGTAAATGATCAAATATTTTTTTCGGATCGCTATAGTTTCTTTAAAAACAAATGCCCTCCTCAAAGCAAAGTAAGGCTCAATCACCACTACAAAAAAAAAAGGGAGTATGTTTCAGTCAGGGAAAAACACAATCGGGCCTTTCTTGTCCAAACAGCTGATAAGGGTGTTTGTGCAAATGGCATTTTCAGAAAATCTTGTTAAGGACACAATGGCAATAGTTGTTCCAGGCCCCCTTTTGGGGGATGGGACACATCAAAATATAGTTCAGTACAATGAGACCTTGATTTAACATATCTCTATTTGACAGGCTGGATGCAATGAACCACATTTCTGCCTAGGCATCTCCCCCCCAATAATGGACAAAGTGTTTATTTTACATTGCTTACAGTGATTTGTGTCATTTGTGTAATGATAGCATTACTTGTGGATGTAAATTGCTACAAGTGAGTTAGTTTTTGATTTAACAGACATTTGGAGATCCCAGACTTCCATTCCCGAAATGTCCACTTAATTTGCATTAAGTGCTAATTACTAAACTATTAGTAATTTGAAATTACTAAACTATGCATTTGAAATTACTAAACTATGTGCATTCAAGCAAGCAAAATGAATCCATCAATATACAGTTCTACAAGTTATTTTGACATTTTAAGTTTCCCCACGTACTTTATCCATCACAGAAAAAACTCCCTATTGGATCCAGAAAGAGAGAACATCTCAATTGGGTGTCATGCTTTGGGGAAGCTTCAGCCCAAAGCCTGATTCTTGTAACTTGTCCTTTGTTTTGTTTTTCAATAATGCACTGTAACCAGGGCCGGATTTTCCTATAGGCTAACTAGGCTTCAGCCTAGGGCCTCAAGATCAAGAGGGGCCTACATTCAAATTGTTAGCAAAATTAAAATTACACTTTCACTATAGGTGAAAGGGCCTCATAAGTGGAATAGCCTAGGGCCTCTTTTCATCTAAATCCGGCCCTGACTGTAACACTTTCTAAGTTTACAGCATAGCCTAAAAATATTCAGTATGAATAAAAAGCTTATCTGGAGGTTATAAGTCCCTTAAGAAGATGCCACTTCCTTCCCCTCTTTTAGCAACACAGACTAGTGGTAACAATCACGCAATTAAAAGAAAATCAATTTCAGCAATTGAAAGAATGGAATTAATTCCTAGCACAGGAAGTCCTCAACTTATGACCACTGTTGGGACCAGAACATTGGTCGCTAAGTGATGCAGTTGTTAAGTGAATCATGACCGATTTATGGCCTTTTTGCTGCAGTTGTAAAGGGAATGTGACTTTCTTCATTGACTTAGCTTGTTGGAAGCCCCCCTCCCCCACTCCGAAATTCACAAATGGTGATCACATGACCTTGGGATGCTGCCATGGTTGTAAATGCAAGAAGCAGTCTTAAGTCACTTTTTTCAGTGCTGTTGTAACTGAACAGTCATTAAACAAATTGGTCATGGTAGGACAAGGTAGGACAAAATTTGCTTGATGAAAGACTGAAATTGATAAGTATAATATTAATGATGTCTATAAGAAAATAGGTAGCATCTAAAAAAACCAATCCAGGATATTACTTCTCTCACATCTCTTAATGATAGCCCATTAATATTCCTTTACTTGAATAGTCCCCTTTTAAGGAGATGTATATCTCCTAAAAATGAATTTCATAGTTTGACCATTATTTAATTTATATCCTACCTTGTGGCTGACAAATGGCATTTGAGGCAGGCATTGGTAACAAAAGAATCAACAATAAAACCATTAACATTAATAGAACTGACAGAAACAGGTAGGATTTACCCAATTTGGCAACATTTTTCATTTCATTTTTTCATTTTATTAGATTTCTATACCGCCCTACTCCCGAAGGACTCAGGGCGGTGCACAGCCAAACAATAAAAACACATACAATACAAAATTTAAAAAATAGAATAAAATCAAATTAAATAATTTTGGCCCCGACAAATTTAAAACCCCAAACTTTTAAAACCAATTTAAAATTGAATATATAAAATACTAAAAGATATTTAAAATTTTAAAAATCTTTTCTAAAAGAGGGGGAAAATTAGGCCAGGCCGGCCTGGTGAAATAGTAAGGTCTTTAAGGCGTGGTGGAAGGTGCGCAGATCCGGGATCCTCCGTATCTCTGGGGGGAGCTCGTTCCAGATAGTAGGTGCCCCCACAGAGAAGGCTCTCCCCCTGGGGGCCGCCAGTCGGCATTGTTTGGCTGACGGCACCCGGAGGAGCCCCTCTCTATGGGAGCGTACCGGCCGGTGGGAGGCTATTGGTGGTAGTAGGCAGTCCTGCAAGTACCCGGGTCCTAAGTCATGGAGCGCTTTAAAGGTAGTAACCAGAACCTTGAAGCGCACCCGGAAGACCACCGGGAGCCAGTGCAGCTCGCACAGGAGGGGTGTTACATGGGAACGCCATGTCGCTCCCATTACCACCCGCGCGGCCGCACTCTGCGCCAGTTGGAGCCTCCGGGTGCTCCTCAAGGGGAGCCCCATGTAGAGAGCCTTGCAATAGTCCAGGCGGGAGGTGACAAGGGCATGAGTGACCGTGTGTAACGAGTCCCGATCCAGAAAGGGATGCAACTGGCGAATCAGGCGAATCTGATGAAAAATCCTCCCGGTCACGGCCGTCAAGTGCTCTTCTAAAGACAGCCGTGAATCCAGGAGGACGCCCAAGTTGCGAGCCTTCTCCGTGGGGGCCAATGATTCGCCCCCAATAGTCAGTGATGGCGTCAACTGACTATATCGGGACGTCGGAAACCACAGCCACTCAGTCTTGGATGGGTTGAGCCTGAGCCTGTTCCTCCCCATCCAGATTCGTACGGCCTCCAGGCACCGGGACATCACTTCAAGGGCATTGTTGGGGTGATCCGGGGTGGAGATGTACAGCTGGATGTCGTCAGCGTACTGATGGTACTCCACCCCGAAACCACGGATGATCTCGCCCAGCGGCTTCACATAAATGTTGAACAGGAGAGGCGAGAGGACCGACCCTTGCGGCACCCCACATATGAGGGGCCTCGGGGTCGACCTCTGTCCCCCTGTCAACACAGACTGCGACCGGTCAGAGAGAAAGGAGGAGAACCACCGCTTGAGAACATACCATCTTTTAAAGCCTGCAATATTTTAAACAAGTGGAATTCTTAAGAAGGTGAGATTTCCTCTTTTTGTAAAGATACAAACACCTCTCTATTGGTTGATTTATGAATTTTGTTGGTATATGGCAGTTTCTTTAGATTGGTTTTTCATCATTTTCATATACTTTATTTGGGTTTGGCTTAGAATGTGGGGGGAAACCCAAATTGCAATTTATTCTACAAACCATGGCTAAGCAAATCATTGCTTGTCTCAATCCAATCTTAGTTATTGTTTGGTTTAAACATGTTGATATAGTTCTTGAGCTACATGTGTATCCTATTTCCAAACTCATCCATGATTAGTTATTTAGATACTCAGGAGAATAAAAAATATTATATTAAGGGACAAGAAGGTGCATAATTCTTTATTTAAAAAACGGAATCAAAGGGTCTGCCTTATCTATATATGAACAAATTTTTGCGCTGGATTTGGCAGAATTCTTCAATTCAGATTAAGTTTGTAGCCACTAGATGTCAGTATACACAAAGCTAAAATACTACATATGTTTGGAAACAAAATGCTCTTAAATTCTAGGAATCAAAAACAAATTTTGTATTTTTTTGGGGGGGGGGACGGATGGACGGGGGACAACCACAGCAGTGATATTATCTGTAAGCATAACTTTGCTTTTACAGCTTTAATTTATACCTATTTGGCCTATTACTAATTGCTGGGCTGTCTGAAAGTGGAGGGAAACAGGATTATACCTTTGTCTCCTTGCAGATCCTGCCTATGCTTGCTTTGGTTATGAGAAAATACATCCAAACAGACCTGGCAGTGTGAGGCAAAAAGAGCAGAGAAGATAGACACTTTTAACTAAATAGAAGGGTTACTTGTGTGCTGTTGGATTTTGATATTGGGGAAAAAAACAGTCTGGGAGCATGGCAAATAGCTCAAGATATTATAATTTTTGAACATTATTAGCTGTGGGTATAAGACATGGGGCCATCCCACACTTGTATCTAACCGAGGTCCAAACAGACCTCAGCAACCTATTTATTTTGCTATGTACCTATGACATTGCATTTTTCTTCTTCCCAGCCCATGATACAAGCTTAAGTCATCCTTAACTGTTTTAAAGTAGTATTTCCTCCCATAAGCCAACTGTAACATTTGGCAGTGTCTAAATGAAGATATTGTTATGCTCTTTGCTGACTACAGATAGGTCTCAATTTACTATTTTTGGTGACTGATGTCATAACATGTTGGAATCAACTTGGCGGGCTCATCATGAATGGTCCAGATTAGAGAATACACAAACTCAGGTGCTTCTCGGGATGATGGAGCAGCGAACAAAAACCTGCCATCTCTTTTATTAGTTATCAAAATACAGCGTCATCAGAAGGCGTTATTATGGCTACACATCTCATATTACATACAAGAGATAGAAAAACATCCATATATTCTCCAATAAGTTTCACATTCTTACCTATTACAGTAAATCACGTGATTTCTAGGAAAGCGATACTTGAGGTGTAAAAAACAAAACTTAACTCTGGCTATATGGAGTCAGTTACTACCAGGCGAGAGGCCCATCTCCTGCTATCTGATTACCTCACTTCTCAGGAATGTTCCGCCAAGAGATGTCTCTTATCTTTTCAAATACAGTCTATGTTCTGAACAAAGAGAGAACAAAATAGGGCCCTTTAGAGAGTATCCAGCTGAACCCGCATTCCCACAATAACAGCACTGGAAAAAATGACTTATGACCAGTCCTTGTACTTATGATTGTTGTAGCATCCTCATGGTCACATGATCAAGATTGAGTACTTGGCAACTGGCATGTTTTAGGATGATTGCAGCATTCAAGGGCCATGTTTGTGACCTTCCCAGGCATCTTATGACATGCAAAGTCAATGGGGGGA